GCATACTGGTTACATCACTGGACTCCCACATGTCTGACCATGGTTTGAGTTCTGAACCCAGTGGCTTCAAAATCATGCCAGGTGCATATGTGTGCCTATCCATAATCCCAAGAGAATAGAGGAGAAGGTATTGCAGACAGGGTTGACTCCTCACTTTTTCTCTATCATTCTCTCTCTCTCTCTCTCTCTGGTGAGTGTACACCCCTTATGAAAAAAAAAAACTTTAAAAAATTATCCAGAGTGGGACCAGCAGTTGGTATAATGGCTATGTCACTGGACTCCTATATTGTCGACTGCGGTTCGAGTCCTGGACCCAGTGGCTTAAACTCATGCTGGGCGAGTGTGCGTGTGCCCAAGATTTCGAGATGAGAATGGAGGAGAGAGATTGCAGTGTGGCCATTCCCCCTGAGGGGTGATTTCTCGCTTTCTGTCTCTCTGTCACTGTCTTTCTGGTTAGTGCACGTGCCCTATAGTGAAATCCTCTCCAAAAAGAAAATTATCCTGAAAGTCAAATATGTCCTTCTATGTCATTGTACATCTCAGATGTAGTTTATATGTTCTTTTTAAAAAAATTATTTATTATTATTTAGATTTGCTATAAGTATGTGTGCTCATAAGCGAGAGTGAGAGAGAGGGAAAGTGAGAAAACATGCTGCCAGGTTCAGGACTAAAATCTTGGTCAGCCATGTGGGAGTCCAGTGCCTTAACCACCACGCCACAAGCTGGCCCCTTTATATACATTTTATATCTCTCATATTTTATATGTCAGTTTACATTTCTTTATTTTCAAACTATTTTTTAAAGAATTATTATATTGAATTTATTTATTTTATTTAGTTATTTTAATTTGACCAGAGAGAGACAGAGAGCGAGCAAGAGAAAGTGAGAAAGTAAGCCACGAGGTCTGGGACTTGAACCGCGGTGGGCCATGTGCGAGTCCAGCGCCCTTAACCACCATGTCTCCTGCCAGCCCCTCAACCTATTTTTTTCTAAAGAATTACTTAATTTAGGAGGGACTAGCAGTTAGCGTAATGGCTATGTTGCTGGACGCCCACGTAGTCGACGGTGGTTTGTGTCCCGGACCCAGTGGCTTAAAACTCACGCCGGGCGCGTGTGCATGCATGCCCAAGATCCCAAGAGGAGAATGGAGGAGAGGGGATTGCAGCATGACCATCCCTCCTGGGGAGTGATTTCCCACTTTCTGTCTCTGTCTCTCTCTGTCTGTCTGGCGAGCGCACACGCCCTATAGTGAAAATCTCTCTCAAAAAAAAAAAAAGACTTAATTTGGGGAACAGCAGTTAGCTATGTCACTGGACTCCCATGCAGTCGACTGCAGTTCGAGTCCCAGACCCGGCAGCTTAAACTCACGCCGGGCACGTGTGTGTGCATGCCCAAGATCCGGGCAGGAGAATGGAGAAGAAGGGATTGCGGCATGGCCATCCTCCCTGGGGGGGTGATTTCTCTCTTTCTGTCTCTGTCTCTCTCTGTCTTTCTGGTGAGTGCACATGCCCTATAGCAAAAACCTCTCCAAAAAAGAAAAAAAAGAGAATAATTTAATATTATTTTTTAGTTTGACCAAAGAGAGAGTGAGAAAACAAACCACCACATCTGGGACTCAAACCAGGGTCAACCAGGTGAGAGTTCAGTAGCTTAACTACCATGCCACCTGCTGGCTCCTCAACCTTTCTATGTTTAAAGATGAATGCTAATTTCATATGGGGGCCTGCAGGTAGCATGGCAAATGGCACTGGATTTCCACATGGCTGATGGCCATTTGAGTCTTTGACCTGGCAGCTTGCTTTTTCTCTTTCTCTTTTTTTTTTTTGGTCAAATAAAAAAGTAATGATAATGGATATAAATAAATAAATTAATCTTTTTTTTTTATTTGGAGACGTTTTTGCTATAGGGCACATGTGCTCACCAGGAAGACAGAGAGAGACAGATAGAAAGTGAGAAATCACCCCCCAGGGGGATGGCCATGCCGCAAACCCTTCTCCTCCATTCTCCTGTCGGGATCTTGGGCACACATGCACACGTGCCCCGCATGAGTTTAAGCCACTGGGTCCAGGACTCAAACCGATGTTGGCTACATGGGAGTTCAGCGACATAGCCATTACACTAACTGCTGGTCCCAATAAATCTTTTTTTTCAAAAAAAGGAATTTCATATGGAATTTTCCGTGATGATAGAAAGATTCTGATGGGGCAATTAGGAAGTGTGATGGTTAAGGATGCTGGACTCCCACATGGCCAACTGCGGTTTGAGTTCCAAATCTGGTGGCTTGCTTTCTGGGGCGAGCAGGTGGTGTGGTGGTTAAAGGCCCTGAATTCTCACATGGATGACTGGGGTTTGAGTCCTGGAACTGGAGGCTTGCTTTCTCACTTTCCCTTTCTCTGTCTCTGTCTGGTAAAATTAAAAATAATAAGAGCAGTAGGGGGTCAGCAGGTGGCGTGGTGGTTAGGGTGCTGGAATTCCCACATGGCCGACCACGGTTGGAGTCCCGGACCTGGTGGCTTGCTTTCTCACTTTCCCTCTCTCTCTGTCTTTCTCTGACAAAAACTCATGTAAAATAATAATAATAAATTAATTAAATAATTTTAAAAAAAAAGAACAGTGGGGCTGGCAGGTGGCGTGGTGGTTAAGGGCACTAGACTCCCACATGGTTGACTGCAGTTTGAGTCCCAGACCTTGAAGTTTGCTTTCTGACTTTCCCTATCTCTCTCTTTCACTCTGTCTCTCTCTGGTCAAATAAAAATAAAAAATAAATGAAGTTAAATAATTCTTTTAAAAATAATAACAAATGGAATTAAATAATTCTTTCTAAAATAATTTTTGACTCTATTTATTTTAATTTGATCAGAGAGGGATAGAGAGAGAAAGAGAGAATACAAGCCACCAGATTTGGGTCTCAAACAGTGGTCAGCCATGGGTAAGTCCAGCGCCCCAACCATCATGCCCCCTACCATCTCCAGCATAACATTTAAAATCTCTCACTGACATTAAATTTTCTCTGCGGAACCTTTCTCTATACTCATCTCTGGTTTTGCACTTATACATTCTTAGTAGAAAAGCAACAGTTATAATTTACAGTAGTCATTAAAAGTTGGCATGTTTAATTCCTTTATTTCCAATCAGAAGTTGAGGATTAAGAAATACGTTGACAATAATAGAAATGTCCATGATAGTACTGTGTAATATACATGGGACTTCAAAAATTCGTGGAAAATGCATATTTCAAAAAAATGCATATTACCAAAAAACAAAAACAAAATCCATGCATAGGATTTCGATCTTCCCCACGAAAATAAATTTGTACTTAAATTGTTTTCCCTGGGCAACTGTTGGTGCGGTGGTTAAGACTGCTGGATCCCACAGGGTCAACTGCACAGCTGGGGTCCATCACCCAGTGGCTTGAGAAACGCTTGAAGTATGTGCATAGCCTAAAGCCTGAATGGTGAAACGAAAGAGATTGGTGCCTGACCATCTTGTCTCGGGTGTGCTTGCTCAGTCTGCCACTTCCCCTCCAGCAAGTCCCCATGCCCTCTGGCAAATTAAAAATAAATAAACGTTCTTCCATGAGCTTGGGCTTTGGAGTCCTCGCTTGTAAAGGCTTATGCAGAACTCGAAGTCATCAATCCATCATATGTCTCAGGATTTATGTCCAACAAGGTTTTCATCGACATTCATCAAACATCCCCTCAGTTGTAATCCCACTAACGACCGCCAGGGCGAGACAAAAGAGACTTCTTTCCATCTTTACGTGGTCTTGGAAATCGTACACCATGACGTCCGCCCAAGACGTAGGTGTAGACGAGGAACAAAAGAAGACCCCTCGTGGAGGCGGCCTCTGGCACGCCGTCCACGCCCCGCGCCCGGGAGCTGTCCACGCCCGGCACCGCTCCCCGGCGGCGG